GAGGATCAGGGAGGAGAGGATCAGGGAGGAGAAGATCAGGGAGGAGAAGATCAGGGAGGAGAAGGCTGTGAAAAAGGAAAAAACATGTACATTTCAAAGCCACAAGGATATAGTCAAAGCATCAAGTGACTCCTGTTCCAGTTTCAGATGGTCCAGGGAGACCAGGAGACGATTTTCACAGCCTCTGACTGAGTGGCATCTGCTCCCTAGCATCGAGCTGCGAGTCTTCATCTTTATTCACTGCATAACTTCATTCCCAACCTAGTCTCTGAAATCTGAATGTAATGGAAAATGTGCTTCACAGGGGATGGGGAGGGGTGGGGTGCAGAGAGGTCTAGACACGGGCCACCAGCTTGTCCTACATCCTCGGTCCTCTGTGCAGGAGGAATTCCAAAGGATAGGAAAAAATCAGTGGCACTTCATTTGGGGTACCTTATCTTTTCTGTGGAAAAAAGATTAAACTAGTGTGTGTGTGTGTGTGTGTGTGTGTGTGTGTGTGTCTTGCAGAGGCTGCCTGCACAGGCCCACGAGTCAGCAAGCCCCCTCCCCAGGGAAAACCAATCTGCACTTGCCTGGATCGTCTTTCTTGAAGGCCACTGAACCCCGCGAAGGACTGGCTTCTAATGATCCCATTGGGCCCTCCCGGTGAGAAGGACTGGGATCCTACCAACATGATTTCTGGGAGTCTGGTTGACAGTCCTGTAAGAAAGACAGAAAACACACGAGGCTTATCAGTCAGGTGAAGTGAGTCCAGAGGTCGATGTCACTAGGGTTCCGAGACATTGGTGTGATTTTTTTCCTGTAGCTTTTTTTTTTTTTAAGCCAAAGTGTTTAGCTGTCAGGCTTTAAAAAAAAAAGTAGCTACCCACCTACTTAGACCACAATAAATATAAATTACATGAACTTATCCGTAACTTTAGGTTTCTTCAGCAGTTCTTCTCTTACAAGGGCCAATCACACCTTCCCAAATATAAGAACTTCAGCAACACTTAGCCTCCAACCAACAGCGAGAACACACAAATGAGCCGCCTGGAAGCCTGGGCTAGGTCCTCTGAAGGCCTGCTCGGCCTGCAGGTGGAATTCCACACTCAGAGGTCACCAGGCTAAACACAAGGCTCCTTTGGAGAGGAACTACTGCAGCTGCTGTCCTGTGCACCCTGAGGATGCCTGAAAGGCAGGACTCTGAGGCTGCCGTGGAGGTGCCAAATGAGAAGGTGGAAGGAGGTGCTCACTCACAAAGGAAGCCACAATCCAGGTTAGCTCAGCGGCCTGAGGAGCAGCAGCGGGAGGGGACCAGAGAAGCCTGCAGCCCCGCCCCAGCCTCCAGCAGGGCTTCCCTGAGGACACCCACGGCCATAGACCAAGGTGTCCACCGCCCACAGCTGGACAGAGGCCCAAGGTGGTTCTCCATAGACTGCCCTAGAACGTGAGGTGGTGCTGTCCTTTGCAGGTCAGCAGAGTCACGTACCATGGTCTCACCCTGTGACTTCAGTCCAGAGAGGCTTCAGCTAGCAGGGAAAAGGTGAGACTGTCCAGACTGAAGCCTTCCCCAGGGGACAGACACCAAATCATGTCTGAGTAGCACCAACAATTTCCCCCTTAAAGACCCAATGAGAAGGGAAGAAAAGCTAAACAACAACAAAAAAATTCATGAACCCTAATAGTAACTGCCCCTCCCCTCCGCCCCGTGCTGCTGGTTTTAAATCCCGTTCCTCCCTCCTCCCTCCCGGAAGAAAGCAGCTCTGGGATTTGTGCACATTCCTGCAGCAATGGGTCTGGAAGTGGCCAATAGGCTCCCTCTTTGACCCTGTGGGAGAATATCCTCAGGCCAGCCGAGCAGGGAGGCTGAGTTTGGGGCTTTCTTTTAGAATTTTAAAGGCAATGAAATGAAACTGAACCCCTTTCTCTCGCCATGCACAAAAGTTAATTCAAAATGGATCAAGGAGCTTGATATCAAATCAGAGACACGCCGTCTGATAGAAGAAAAAGTTGGCTACGATCTACATACGGTGGGGTCGGGCTCCAAATTCCTCAATAGGACACCCATAGCACAAAAGTTAATAACTAGAATCAACAAATGGGACTTACTCAAACTAAAAAGTTTTTTCTCAGCAAAAGAAACAATAAGAGAGGTAAATAGGGAGCCTACATCCTGGGAACAAATCTTTACTCCTCACACTTCAGATAGAGCCCTAATATCCAGAGTATACAAAGAACTCAAAAAATTAGACAATAAGAGAACAAACAACCCAATCAACAAATGGGCCAAGGACCTGAACAGACACTTCTCAGAGGAGGACATACAATCAATCAACAAGTACATGAAAAAATGCTCACCATCTCTAGCAGTCAGAGAAACGCAAATCAAAACCACCCTAAGATACCATCTCACTCCAGTTAGATTGGCAGCCATTATGAAGTCAAACAACAACAAGTGCTGGCGAGGATGTGGGGAAAAGGGTACACTTGTACATTGCTGGTGGGACTGCAAATTGGTGCAGCCAATTTGGAAAGCAGTATGGAGATTTCTTGGAAAGCTGGGAATGGAGCCACCATTTGACCCAGCTATTCCCCTTCTCGGTCTATTCCCTAAAGACCTAAAAAGAGCATGCTACAGGGACACTGCTACATCGATGTTCATAGCAGCACAATTCACAATAGCAAGACTGTGCAACCAACCTAGATGCCCTTCAATAGATGAATGGATAAAAAAAATGTGGCATTTATACACAATGGAGTATTACTCTGCATTAAAAAATGACAAAATCATAGAATTTACAGGGAAATGGATGGCATTAGAGCAGATTATGCTAAGTGAAGCTAGCCAATCCCTAAAAAACAAATGTCAAATGTCTTCTTTGATATAAGGAGAGTAACTAAGAACAGAGTAGGGTCGAAGAGCATGAGAAGAAGATTAACATTAAACAGGGATGAGAGGTGGGAGGGAAAGGGAGAGAGAAGGGAAATTGCATGGAAATGGAAGGAGACCCTCAGAGTTATACAAAAGTACATACAAGAGGAAGTGAGGGGAAAGGGAAAAATAATACAAGGGGGACAAATGAATGTCAGTAGAGGGGGTAGAGAGAGAAGAGAAGAGGGGAGGGGAGGGGAGGGGGGATAGTAGAGGATAGGAAAGGCAGCAGAACACAACAGACACTAGTATGGCAATATGTAAATCAATGGATGTGTAACTGATGTGATTCTGCAATCTGTATATGGGGTAAAAATGGGAGCTCATAACCCACTTGAATCAAAGTGTGAAATATGATATATCAAGAACTATGTAATGTTTTGAACAACCAACAATAAAAAATTAAAAATAAAATAAAATAAAGGCAATGAAGTTGAAGTATGTAAGAGGTCAACAGCAACAGGTAATGCACACGTGGTTTAGGCAAAAGCAGGTGCAGAAAGCTCCCTCAGTTACTCCCCGAGCTGGAGGGCACGAAAATAGCCGGAATTCCTTCAATTCCTCCAGGAGGCAGGCAGCAGGTGCTCTCTGCTGGTGACAGGGGTCTGCATTTCATTAAGGTGCCTTCCGGGTACAGCCGAGCGTCAAGAAAGACTGTGGCTTGGGTTCCTTTTTGTATTCAATACTTTTTTTTTGTTGTGCTGAGGATCAAACCCAGGGCCTTGGGTGTGCTAGGCAAGTGCTCTACCCCTGAGCTGCAACCTCGGCTGTGTCCTCAATAATTTGATACCTATACTGAAGTCTTCATTTGGTAAACTGTATTAGTATTGTAAATTATTGTCCCAATATGTCTATGTATCATGAATATTCTATGATTACAGAAAAAAGAGTATTTAAATATTTAACTGTGTCTTCTTATACTTCCTGAAATTATACTTCTTTTTTTTTTTTTTTTCGTGGTGCTGGGGATTGAACCCAGGGCCTGTGTATGTGAGGCAAGCACTCTACCCACTGAGTTACATCCCCAGCCCCTGAAATTATATTTCTTAAGCCAAAATTATATATTTTTTCTTATCCATTGGATCCCAGTAGTTTACTATGAAACCCCCAGGCATTCTGTTTTAATTAAACCCCCAGGCGATTCTGATGTTCAGCAAAGTTGTGAAGCCACTGCTTTAGAAGGCTCAATTACACAAAAAGAAAAAAGTACAGAAAGCAAGAGGGAGAGGAAAAAGAAAAGACACCAAGTTTGTTGAAACTTTAAGACTTCTGGAAATAACAATCTTGTACAATCTATGAAACCCAACTTTTAAAAAATGGCATTCAGTCTTAAACCCTTCTCTGCCAGCTTTGAGCCTCTCATCAAATGAGAATAAAACACATGTCAGATGCTTCTCTTCTTCTCTTTCCATCACAGTAAGAAGGGCTCCCAAAGAATAAAAGAAATCCTTGTCCAGACCCTAGGCTGTGAGATGCGCTGGGGAGGGTCACTTCCCAGAAACTCTCCAGCACGTTTACCTGTGGGCAGGGGGCCACAGAGGACGTGGCCATGGTGAGCAGTTTGGTTATTGTTCTGCTTTGTCTTCGTGGTCTTAGAAATGATCAGTATCTAGTGGGAAAGAATTTGGCCAAGAGCTGCTCAGGCTGAGACCTCTGTCCCACCAACAGTGTCCCCAAAGATGGACACAACTGCCTGAGGGGGTGTCAGGTGAGAGTCCACAAGATCCAGAGCCCTGGCTCCTGAGCAGCTGTTCTTTTCCACGTCCCTCCTTCCCCTGCCCTCCCCCAGCGGCAAGCTCTGCGTTCATTTTTCCTGTCTTCCAGACACCCCACTCCTGGTACCCTAAGTCCTCAGGCCGTCTGACCTCCCAGGAACTCCCACAGCCTGTTCTCTCCCAGCTCCCAGCAAAATCACCCTAGCTACGGTAAGGATTTGATTTGATCATCCACGGCAGGGGTAATCTGCATTTTAATACCAGGTGCACCAACCTTCCCAAAACCTTAACCAGAAGATGGGACGAGCAGAAGGCAGTGTCTGCTGGGAGGGTGTAAAGGAGGAATGAAGTTCTGGAGGACAATATGGCATTATCTATTAAACAAGTAAAACACACTTCTTTCGTATCTCCTCTAAAGAGAAGTCCAACTGCACAAGAGGAATACACAGGGATGCTCATTACAGGCAATGTTTGGAATACTAGGAAAATGGGGGGTGAGGCTGGGGCTGTGGTGCACACCTGTAATCCCAGGGGTGCGGGAGGCTGAGGCAGGAGGATCACAAGTCCAAGGCCAGCCTCAGCAATTTAGCAAGGCCCTAAGTGACTGAGTGAGACCGTGTCTCAAAATAAAATAAAAAGTGCTGGGGAAATGACTCAGTGGTTAAGTTCCCCTGTGTTCAATCCCTGGTGCAAAACAAAACAAAACAAAACCCAATAATTACAGGAACGGAAGGATGGGATAATACGCAGCATTTAAAAAAAAAATATGTCCGCGTAGAAGACGCCGAGGACAAACTGCGGAACACAACAGTAGGATAGCTGGAGTGTAAACACAAAGCTAAACCAAACAATGCATATTCATAGCAAAGTTCTGAAAGTACACAGGCAGATGATCTATGGAGAAGTAAGATTGAGTGGTAGTCAGCAACGTTTTAATATTTTATGCATTCTATTAATTCTGACAGAGCAAATGTATTCATGGGTTATTCATAGATGCAAAATTCCTTTTGTAAAAAATTGCGGCCACTTGGAGCTGGGAGTGTAGAGGAGAGAGCTCACGTACAAGATCATTG